CATACAAATTGCGGGAAATTTTAGCGTAGTTCTTTCTTACTATTTCCATATTTTTATTGAATTTTCTCCTTAATAATTATGTATTTTGTAAAAGAGATGTTCCGATTTCACTCATACCACCAAATCTCTTGCACACTCACACTTTATTTGAGAAAAAGGCAAAGAGAGTAAACAAAGCTCAGTTAACGGTAATTTTTACTTTAAATTCATTGATATTCTAATTTCACGTTCGAACCATTGAAAAGTAATTTTTTATAGATGGAATCATTCGCTGAAATAAATAAGAAAAAATTAAAACGGTATAGAGGAGAGATAAAAAAGACCCTATAAAATTAGAGAATTACCGTGCAAAATCAAGAGAGAGAGCACGAAAGTATCGAAAGAAGCTGTTGCAATTAGTGAAAAATAATAATAAATTTGGTGAGGAATGTAAGGAAAAAGAAGGCAAAGAAAATATCGAGAGAGAAAGAAAAATGAAGCTTAACGAAATAGGAGCGGTGAACCCTATTCTTGTAAACAAACATTAGGGAAAGCAATAAAGAAGGTAGAAAACGTATTGCCAACAGGTAATAATTCTCAATTCATTGTATAAGAAATATGTCAAGCCAGGAAATATGGTAAAAAATAAAGCACCGGGCTCGGTATTCAAACAACAACAACAAAAAGTGAGAGACTTCTACACACGGGATGATTTTAGCATTCAAGCCGCGGGTCGGAAGGATACTGTCATTATTGACGGAGAAATAGTTGCTAAGCGCTTTATGTTGCTGACATTATCAGAGGCCTACGAATTATATAAAAATGAGTTTACTGCCGAACGTGTAGGTAAGTCGACGTTTCTTCAATATCGGCCACGGCACATTCAGCTCATAAACGAGATGCCACATAACATGTGTGTATGTCAACACCATGCGAATTTCGGTTTTTTGTTGGAGGGTTATACAAAAGTAATAAAATCATTTTCTTATGATTTTGAAAGCTTTCTACAATCTGTTTGTTGTAATATTCAGGAAGAAAGATGTATGACAAATGTTTGCGAAAATTGTGTGCGAGTTGTAAAACACGATTTAGTTCCTGTAAAATATTTAACAAAACTTGATGAAAACGTGAAATGGCAACATTGGCGAAAAGTTGGCGACCGAATATCTTGAACTCACACTATCGCTCCTTTATCTGATCTCATCCATGAATTGGAAGTGCAACTGCCCATATTTAAACTACATTTTTTTGTTAAACGTGCCCAAAAAGAATACTTTGAAATGAGAAAGAAATCCCTAAAATCTGGAGAACTTGTCTTACAAATTGATTTCGCGGAAAATTACCGACTGATTTGTCAGAACGAAGTCCAAAGTGCACACTTTAGCTACCGCCAAGTGACAATTTTTTTTTTTTTTTTTTTTTTTATTGATGAACAAAGATCATATTCCATTATCAGTGATAAGTTAAGCCATGATAAATGCGATGTTTACTGCTTCATAATAAATCTTTTAAAACAAATACAAAAGCAGTATGGAAATTTTAGAAATGTCTTCGTATTCTCAGACGGAAGCAGTTGCCAGTTCAAAAATAAATTTATAGCAAGCAGTTTATGCGAATTTTTAGTTGAATTCAATTTGAAAAATATTGAATGGAACTATTTTGCCACTTCACACGGCAAGGGTGCAGTCGTTGGAGTGGGAGCTGTTATTAAGAGAGAAGTTTGGCAGTTGACTAGAGAAAAAAATTTAGTATTAGACTATGCTAAATCTTTTTTTGAATGTGCTCGAATCCACATTGAAGGTGTCCAATTGGCATACATATCTTCAGAGCAAATTGAAGAAATGTCTTTAAAATTAGCTGAGAAGTGGACAAAAGTTCCAAATATACCTGGAATACGTCAACTTCATTGGCTATCAAGCAGCGAAAATTTCAAACTAAAAGTAGCACGAACGGCATTTTCTTCGAAAATAAATGTATCTTAGTATTAACATTTTCTTTCCTATTTCTTGGAATTTATCGTTATTTAGATACGTATATCCATTAAAATGTTCTGAATAAAAAATTATGTTGCGTTTTTCCTTTAACAGGAAGTTAAACTCAAAATGGTGTAAGGAATTTCTTCAGCAGTAAACGATATGTCACGTTACAAACGTCACGTTACGTACCTTATTATATCCTGTATAAAAAAATCTAACAAGTATTTTCAAGGCAAAAATAATTTTACCATAACACAAGGCAAACTGATTAAACTGTAATAAGTTACATTAAAAAATTCATACATTATTCGCAGATTTTCACATTTGTATAGGTGCAGCGGAAAACTACTTCTATTTTATGTCACGTGACGAACCGTTGTTGATTTGTTTGTATCTTTGAACCGTTTTTCTTTACAGATATCTATTTAGCACTTTATGTAGTGCTTCTAAAGAGCTATCCAAAAATCAAATTAAGGGAGAGGAAATTTAAATTAGTCTCTACTTTTCTTCACGTTGAAATCGTACGACTGTCACGTGCGCCACCATGGAAATGCGCATATTTAAGCAAAAGCGTGGGGGAAGCCCGGTGGTATAAGCTAGTATTAATTATATTTTTTCATCCATTTTAATTTATTAAATTCAAGTCAATACAATCAAAACGAATATTTCATGTACAGTTTTTAACTTGAATGGACTCTTAATATTTAATATCATGAATTCTAATTTTAAGTTTAGGGTCACGACGAAAGCGCTGAACTGATATTTTTTGGAACATGCGTTTGAGTCGGGAGCAGAGACTTTGCTTTTGTGCAACGAGCCAAACAATTTTTTTAACTGAGAGACCAGAAATAACACCAAAATATGCATATTTGATATTTTTGCTCTGGTGCTACCAATGCAATATGCCTTATTCGTATGTATGTATGCATGTATATTTGTATGCAAAGTGTCATCTACTTGACAAAAGATTGATATTTTTCGTATATTTTCAACGCAATTTTTGGATGATAAACTCTTTCTCCTGTGCATATATTTCACACTCTTAAATCAAATATTCCATTTGTTATAAAACATCGTGCTACTCAACATGGATCACTAAAATTGGCTGACACTCACTCACTGGATGTGCGCGTTTGCTGTGACAACAAAGGGTAACACGCCGCTTGAGTGCACCAAGTACGCATGTACGCATGCAATTTCTTGTCATGCACTCACTATTTCACACGAAAAAATAAAACTTAACCAAATAAGTAAAATTGATTGAAGTTATATAAAATCTTCCTCGATTTTTGCGCGCTCCGAGCACTTTTGCGCTCCTGTACGCCTCAGTGCGCCATTAAGTGTGGTGGTTTTACTTTGCCAGCGAAATTGCTTTTGGCTTTTACTACCCAGTAAGCACTGCGTACCATTTGCCTTAAGCGCGTCCTCCACACCGTTATATACCTATGTATGTATGTACATACATATATTGATCGATCGCTTCTGCGGAAACTCTAAGTACACCATAATCTACCATCCGCACCCCAAAGTGCTTACCTCCACCTCAAGTCAAAATTTTCTCCACCATATACTGGTACATACATTTATGTAATCGTACACTTTTTATGGATAACGACTGGCGATTGAACTTTTTTATGGATTAAGTTGTTTGCCAGTGCAATTTGAAAGCCAAAAGGAGGAGTAAAATAAGAATGAGAAATGTGAAAACCATTTTTACTTTATGTTCGCTGTAGCCGTTATGTCGCTGCACAAATATACACACACGTGGCTTAAAAGTGTGTTTGTTTTGTTTGTGTATTGGTTTTATGTACAAACGTATACCTATAGGTATCTATTTTTCACCCAAAAGAGCTCGAATTATTAAGAAATTTCATAAGAATTTATTGGTTTCGGAAAAAGGCTCAAAATTACATCGGTAAATACACTAACTACCTACCTACATACCCATAGACGCGCACTTACTCAAATAGTATGTATGTGTGTGTGTGTGTGTGCATTTGTAGACAGAATTTATGACACAGTTTAGTAGTGACTTTAATACTCTTACATTCTATGTATGTACATACATTGGGGCGGGTACTTTTTTTTTACTATGCGCGTATAATTCTAAGCAAATTTGCCGAAAAACCAAGGGCCTAAAATCAATTTGAAGTTGGCCCAAGTGCGAAAATAGGTTTCTAAGAATATGCGAAATTCTCACTGTTGCGCTCTCTGGTGGAAGTTTTAAGAAAAAGATAGTCGCAGAAATGGATTCCTCATACCAGAAAACTACTTCTAAAATGATTTTATACAAAATTTAAGCACTTTTTTTACTAAACTATAGTAAAATGCTAAGAAACCTATTTCCGATATTTGACAAATTCCAAGAGTTTAGACCCTTTATTTCTTCGGAAAATTTGCTTAGAATTACACGTGGAATCCTTCTGCGCAATACGCGCATAGTCGAAAGGAATCAGCTAAAAATCACCCTTGATTTTTCAGAACTTTTTTTGTCGCGGATGTTACGGTTTTCTTCCATATAAATTCCATATATAATAGCCATTTGGAACTTGTACTTTATCTACTAGAATTCAATGGGCTGCAAAACTGCATACTCGGAATTTTTCTAGGGAATCTAATTAAAAAAGTTCAAAATTTTTACGAAAGTTTGTAGAATTTTTTTTTTTTTAATATGAAACTTGGTTTTGTGAAAGAAAACTATGTTTTAATAAAAAATAACCAAAATTCAATAACAAAAAAAAAGAAATAATATGTTCGAACTTGTCAAAATGGGGTGCGGATATAATTTGTTCGACCACTGTATATGTATATGTATAAGGCTTGTTCGTTAATAAAACCATAAAAACAAAGTTTCCTAATTTGTTAAAGTGTAAAAAAATCAAAAAATTTTCATCAAAATTTCAAACGCTTAAACAGAATTTTTAATGTTTAATTGTATAGGTACCCAGTTTTATAGCCCATTCAATTTTATTACAATAAATTCCAAGTTCAAAGTAGCTCAAACTCACGTTGATTTTTAGTATTTCTTTTTTGCTGAGGGGTTCAGCTTTTTCCTCCATATAACCAATTCCAAACTTTCTTTATATGGAAGGAAATGCTTAACACCGTCACCAAAAAAGGTTAAAGGGGCTATAAACTGCGTACCTACGAAATGAAAAATTAAAAACTCTGTTTAAACAGTTTGATATAATTTCAATAACTATTGTAAAAAAATCACTCCATGCTTACTTTTGTAAGTTACTGTATAAGACTACTTTAATCGTCACTTTGGTTTCGTTTACTTATAAGTATTTTTTTCAAATAGCGCTTTTTCGACAGATGGATCGCCCTTCGAATCTTCTCCTCAGCCTCTTCTACACCATATAACGTTGCAACGGCATCTTAAAATAAATTAACGAACCTTTGACGACTTTATACAGCTTGAAGTCCTTCAACCGCTTCTTTCCATGACTACCGTCCGTGTTGTACTCATAAATGAATTCCGGCTCGAAAATCAAGTCAATATTTTTCTGTAAATTACTGGAAATAATTTTTTTCACCATATTGACCTACAAAATAAAAAACAAAAAATTAATATTAAGGAACAAATGGGCCAGCGGTCAAAATAGTAGCAGCCCAATATTTCGATAATAATTTTTTAAATTTAATTTTAATTATGTTTTTATAAAAGTATAGTTCGTTCTTTAACAAAAACAATATAAATCCAGGCTTCAAACTTTGTGCACAATTTAAAAAGTTTGAAATTTTGATGAAAATTTGTTGAATTGTTTTAAATTTTGCACAAAGTTTGAAATCTGGATTTCTATTGTTTTTGTTAAAGAACGAACTACACTTTTATAAAAACAATTAAAATTAAATAAAAAAAATTATTTTCGAAATTTGTACACTTGTTAAAACATTTACTAAAGTGCTTGCATAGCTTTTAGTGTTGGATTCGTCTATATTTTCATCCAATTCTTTTAGCGTGTCGTCGTCTTTTATGGGGAATGTACCCGACATGGTTGAGTTCTCTGTGTCTTGAAATAATAGCTTTTTTATAAGAACATTTTGTTAAGCCAATGCTTCCATTACAACTGTATTTTGATGAGTGGTCAAATCTGAAAAATCGAAAAAAAACTTTAGTTCTAATTTTTTCATATCATAAAAATCGAAAAAGTGCATACTTTTTAGTTCCTCTGTTACGAATGAATATAGTTGTGGTATTGAATCTGAAAATATAGAAGTAAAAAAGTTTTTTTTGTAATTCTTACAAAGTTTTATACATACCTTTTATTTCCTGAAATTTCTTATCTATTTTTGTTTCAAATATTTCTTCCAGCCACACGCAATTCTCACACCGGTTTTCATCTGCACAAAAATTATAATGAATTTGTAATAAAAGTACATTTTAATTTTCAATATTTACCTTGTGTTTCCACGTTTGTCTTCGTGAGTTTAACGTACTTTGATGGCCGTTTTTCCATTTTTGGGGGTTCGCTTATAAATAAATAAATTATAATGGTTAGTTATTTGTACATTTAAACAAATATTAAATTTTTATTGAGTTTAAAAGCAGCCATGTAAGATTGGAATCAAGACAATTTTATCCTGCTGAGGTAAACCTATGCACTTACATTTGATTTGGGATAGAAGAAAACTTTCGTCTATGCTGCTGCGATTTAAATTGACCAAACATATTCCTAAATATTTTAATGAATCTATTGGTTCCTCAAAAAAAGCAGTTGGATTTAAAAGTCGCTTTCCTATTACAAGTTTTTTTTCTTTATTGAAAGCTGCTATTTGGAAAGGTATATTAGGTTCAATAAAACAATAGTTGTCGGGAAACTCGACACAAAAAATATATTCCGACGTGACTAACTTTATTCGATTTTTTTCTTCTAAAAATCCTTCTTGTTGAGTTTGTATATTAAGCTTTTCGCGGGAAACGTTGTTATAAATTTGTTGAAGTATATGTGTGGGTTTTTTAACGTAACTTTTTAAAATTTGCAAGTAATTTTCAAAGTTGTAAGCTGAAAAATTTTGCAGAATTCCGAATTGTTTTGCACAGTCTGTGATATGAAAAAGGCTGTGCACATTAAAACTCACGCTATTTTCCTGGAACACAACTGGAAAATTTTGCACAAACAGCTTCAGCATATCCTGACAAAGTTTTATATTTCGCTCGTAGCTTTTTGGACATGATAGTAATCTGCATGAGCAGTGCAGTAGGAGAAATTCATAATAAAGCTCATTATGAATGCTTCCTTTTAGTACTAAAATACCCGTATAGAGCAAAAATTGCCGAAATTCCGTGGCTTTCCAATGCACAATATCTTCGAAGCCACGCGGTCGGCGAGAAAATTTCAATGGAATATATTTTCGAAGGGATTTTAAATCCTTAGAAATATTAAGGATATTCTCTTTTGAAACTTTATATTCCAAGTTAATTTTGTTATTTAACAAACGCATCAGAAATTTTCTTACCACCCCTAAGTCTACCAAGTGCATACTGTCAAGGGCCACTTGACTTACCATATTAAGATTAATTTTTTCCAAAGGAGAGATTTTAGAACGAAAAGTTTTTTGATGGTGAGATTTTAGCCGCCTCTCCTTAAAATCTTCATCTGAAATCAGGGGCCTGAATCTATACTGTAAGTTAAAACGTGATCAATTTGCTTCGCTACTTGCGTACATTTGGAACAACCGTAAGAGGATGTGTGCCCAACTGTTCCACATATAAATGAAGTAGCTGGGGCATCGCAAACCACAGCTCTTAATGTAAGGCGAACTGTTTTGTTTTTAATACAAATTCCAGTTTGTGAAATGCGAGTCATTTCTTCAACAAAATCAAGTAAATAAACATCTAAATCACTGGGCTTTTGCTTTCCAACATATACTCCAATGGGTAATATAGAAGTTATCTTAGAGTTAACAATTCTAATCAAAATGGGCCATAGCTGAACCCTGGAGCTTCTAAATAAGGGTATTCCATCTACATTAATGTCGAAAACTATTTCATCGCTTTCGGAAAAGTAATTAGACAAAGACATTAATTGATTTTCAATACCAAAATGGGAATAGAATCCTGGAGGTACACATCTAATACTAAAGTTTGCCGTTTTTGGTAAAAGGGTTCTAATGTAACTTGGCACATCGAGATTTTCTTCGGCAAGAATTCCAAGGAAATCATTGCAACACTCTCTACTAGGTCTGTACTTTAGTGCCCAATCTTTTAATTTGCATTTTAAATCTTTTGTACACAAACTACTAACCGGCTCCTCATCTGGCACGATATTTCCACTTGATTGCAAATTTGACTCCCGCACAAGCGCTTTGGTTGCCAGTGGAGTCTCCAATGTCTCACATGGCGGCTTATATAGAAGTTTAGACACAAATTCTTTCTTTTTATTACTTACTAACCTTTTTAAGTTACGGCGGCTTCCCAGCATTTTGTATTAGTTTAATAAACAACGTGTGGCAATCAACAACTTTCGTAGAACTCAACAAATTTAATACATACATAAATCACACAACACTTGAAAATTACTATTTTGATTTCTCGTTTTCGATAAAATGCGTCACTTACTCATCAGCTGTTTTAGAGTGTTGCGCCAAACAAATGGTTTATTTGCAACGCCGAACATTAAAATTTTGTTCGTCGGCGCATGCTCAATGGTGCAAATATGTACCAAATTCAAGTTCTGCGCGTGATTGTTACGACGTTATTTTTTTTTTATCTCGCTGGCGTCGTACTTTTGATGTTCAGTCGGCTTTTTTCGGCCGAGTTAACGATTGTTGAATATGACCAAAAATGAATTACCACCACCTGCATCACCAGGAGTGAGTCTAGTAGTGGCAACATTTTGTTCTATCAACTGACACGCCGAGATAAATTGCCACCGTTTGCCTGAAGGGTAAATAACAGTTTTTTACGGCCAACGTGACGTATACGCAATATCATTATTAAATATTCACTAAGTAAGCTGAAGGCAAATAAGTGGGCCAAAGGTTGAAAAGGTCATTACATGGTTGCATTAAGTTGTAATATAGTAATATAAATGAGTAGCTACAATGCAGTAATGGTGTCATAAATCTCTTTTGTAGGTAAAAATGTGTCAGGCGATTGTGGACAAGTTGCAGATATTTACATTTTTCGTCGACATTAATGTACTAATATGAAAAAGTAAATTATACGAAAAGGTCATAAAGCTTAAGGTGTCAAAGTATTAAAATATAAATATTTTATTTGATATGTTGATTTGAACAAAGCACTTTTACAGAAGTAAGCTTTCCATTTGGTATACTGCACGCAATACTACCTAGGCTTTATTTTAATCGCCTTCCAAAAGTGCACTCAATTCAGTTGACCATTTCTTTAACTTGTTGTTGTTGCCTGCCATTATAGCATTATTAAAGCAAAAATTAATATGGGAATGTTTATTAGATGTCCAACTTAAACTATATAAAAATAACAGAAATTGGAGAGTTGCCACCTGTATGAAAATGTTGGTTTAAGTAAATTGATAAGATATATAAAGTGAATATTGCAAAGAAAGAGGCTAAAAAACCTAACAGTCGAAAAATTTTTCTGGAGGGTTGCCACCTGTTTGAAAATTATAATTTAATTTAATTGCTTTTAATTAAAGAGGTTTAGGAAAGTCTACTGCTAAAAATATTTGTAAAGAGGGTTGCCACCTGTTTAAAAAATGTTATTTAATTAAGTTGATAAAGTAAATGAAATATTACAATATGGGTGTCAAACTAAAGAGTTTTAGAAAAAGTTTACCGTCAAAAATCTTTTTGAAGCAGGTTGCCAATATATTACAATATGGGTATCAAACGAAAGTATTTGAGAAATGCTTGATTTAGGAATATATCCAACTAGCAAATACCCCGCGTGCTTCGCAGCGCCTTTTTTTTGTTTTCTTATTCCCTATTAGTTAATCATGTAATAATAATAATGGATTGGCGCTTACACATATGTTAGTGTTTGGTCGAGCTTCTCCTCCGATTTGTGGCGTGCGCCTTGATGTTGTCACACAAAGCGGAGCGACCTACAGTTTTACGCCGACTCCGAACGGAGATTGTATTTTTATCAGAAGCTGTTTTTCATGGCAGAAATACACTCGGAGGTTTGCCATTCCCTGCTGAGGGGCGACCGCTGTTAAGAAAACACCTTTTTTCTAAATTTTTTTGCGATGTTGCTTTGACCAGGGCTTGAACCCAGGCGCTGCGGAGTGGAAGCGCGCACTGCTTACCACTACACCACAGCGGCCTCTAATTAATTAATTAAGTTAGTCATGTAGTATCTGTAAAATACTATCATTTTCATTTTCTATACAAGAATTTCAAATTTTCGATTCGTACGAAAACAAGTTTACGCCTCATTAATTAACACCCA